GGTGTGGGTTGACGGTTGGACTTGACGATTTTATGATTCTATTTCAAAGTCTGCTAAAGCCATTAAAGTTTCATTGCCCTATTCTCATTAAATATTAATGAAATACGGGGAGCTATTTCATAGATATTTTAGAAGGCTGCAGCTTCTGTGATAAATAATAACAACGTATTTTCATGTATTTAAAAAAAAAAATCTTCAATACCATAAGGTAAGATCAGACAAAACACACTCAACCATTTTCCTTATGTCTTTTGGTGAAAGGGTCTCTACTTTTTGCATTGCAGAATGCCATGCACTTTGCTGTTATTAGGTAATGAGCTCTCACAGCATTAATTCTTACTTTCATAGCCATATTCCTAAATACTAATTCATTTATGACTAATTCTATTTACATATTCAGTAAACATTAAAGTAATTCACACTTGCTTTATAAATTACATTGAAATAGATTTGGATTCCTTTTTCTTCCTAAAACTCATCTAATTAATTAATAGGAGATTCTGCAAACAGCAAAAGACATTATTAAGCAAAATAGATTATTAAGATACCATACTTTCCTTTCTTAAGCTTCATATGAACAGAAAACCGATACCTTGCACACTTGGTCCACAAAGAAAGCCTGCCCTTTTCCAGTCATGGGAGTTGAAGTTGATGAGTGTGGAGAAGACAAATCACTAAGCTGTAAAAGATTTTTATATAAATAGGTATGTATACATATGTGTACATGTAGCTACCTCTCTAACATGTGCCCATATATATATATGTGCACATACGTAGACACACACACAAAACAGTTCTTTTCCCTGCACTAACATAAGTCACAACCCTAGGTTAGTTTCAAAGAGCAGCTCTAATTATTCAGTGCTTTTCTGAGTCCGTATTACATATGCAGTGTAGCTGTTATACACATAATGTTCAAGTTTAACATTAAACTTGTTAAACTGCATTTTGATGCTATATAAATCTAAGTATTTTAATTTCATGTGTATACGCATATAATGTGTACATATATGTGTATAATTTTACATAATTATTTACTCATGGAAGTCGGCAAAACCAGGAGACCTTCAACTTTAGATGGAAGAAGCAATTGTACAGTAAAATTTGTACAGTTGTATCTTAGACCATGCTATATTCCAAGCAATTTTGCTTAGTTAACCTAACAAACATGTGCCTTCATAGTGTCATCCTAATGTCAGGAAAAGCACTCATGGTAAGACAGGCATAAAAAATAACAGTGACATAGCAAATCCAGCCCACATAATTCACATAATGTTCAAAATGCTTTTCAACCCCTACAAGCATTTCAAAATTCATCTTTTCTTTACCTGAACAGGACTGATAGGAGGAGGTGGGGCTTTGCGTTTTTTTGGAGTTCCACTTCTTTCTGAACTTAATTTAGAGCCTTGATCATGCTGAGTGTTTCACCAGCCAGAAAAGGTAGGTTTGTTAGTTTTGTTAGTAAAGTCCGAGCAAGTTGTTTTATTTAAAAAAAAAAAACAAAAACCCACATTAATATCAACTTTAGCAGCTCATGCAGTGCCATTTTTTTCTTTCTATGTAAAGACTACATCTCTACTAACACAAAGATATTAAACATGCCTGACAATAAGAATTTGCCCCCTTGTATTCCATGCTTCAGTGGAAACAAACATTTAGTGAAAAAGCAGAAGCTGACAATAGGTTTAGCACTAGTGATCTTAAATACTTCCATTCATACATAGTCCAGTTGTGCCATTTTTAACAGCTACCATCTTTTCTCTGCACCAACTTCTGTCTGAGCTCCCTGAAAAACCCACCTCTCCATTCAGAGAAGGAATGAACCAATGCCTTGCACCCTCATCCACTTTCCAGCCACCAGCAGGTCTACAAGGTCTACTTGCACTCCAAGATAAGATACTAAATAAATAATGTAAGAAACTAATTTAATTGCACAAAGCTACTGGGCTTCTCACAGGTGGGGGTCTCCAGCAAGATGTAACCAGGGATAACCTTCAGTTATGTATTTCAGAAACAGAGAACTTTTCCAAATTATTTTCTCTACAGTTTAAAGAGATAGGGATTCCAAAAGCCAAGCTCCTGCACTACATATGAGACTAGTGGTTAATCTTCCTGGCACTCACATGCACATACACACATGTCCTCCCTTCCTTTTCTCACCGAGGGTGCTGGCTGCTGTCACAGAGAGAAGCTAAGTCTAAAAGCAATGTTCCTGAAACACACTTCTTAAATAAGCAACGAAAATCTTTCACATTACAGAGTTGTCAATGGCATCACATCTCACAGTGACATTTACTAGTGCGTCTCATCATGTCAGTTACTGTTTTTTCTTAAGTTACAAGCCTATATAGCCTGAGTATTTTTAAAACCAAAAGAACAAATACCTGCTTTGCTTTTGTCGGTAACTTTGTATCTGTGAAGGAGAAAAGGAGTGGAATTAAAAACAGCTATCAATGAAAACAGTTATTTGCCATTCCTAACCCACCTCTCAGCTCTACTTCCCACACCACAAATACTTTGCTTGGTGTTTCAATTCCTGTCTGAAATATGAGAAATATACTTTAATTTCCAAATTCCATTTGAACGATATCCTTTCTCTCCTGCTTTTTGGGTTTCATATTGAGACAAAATTCAAAGGACTGTGACAATTCTTATCTACATATAGCCTTGTGCCATCTTACACATTAGCTTCCTACTTTAGAAATCCATCACAGATTGACTGTAAAACTCTCCGTCTGCATAAGTTCCTTCACCAACCCTTCTACTGGGGAGCTATATGTTCCACTTACTCTTTCACATAATAAAAAAGGCTCTATTCCAAATTGTATGCATTATTTCAAAATGCTGCTAATCAGCTTACCTTTTATTTCTCCAAAACACCTCTTTATGCCCTGCTCCATGCTTTATCCTGTGCTAAAGATTACCATCTATGGCAAAGACCACATTTTCCTGCTTTTGGGAAGCCTCAGTCAGACCATCTTAAAGATGGATTTTGAAATCTTTCAGGCTACCTTATGAAGTAAATTTGTTCACTGCTAAACACACATGCTGGCTAAACAGCCAGTTCAAGAAGTGACAAACTGCAGATCAGTATCTCTTACATACCCACATCCTGAGACAACTTTGATGATAGGAGATTCTGGATCCCTGTATTCTCGGAGAGCTTGGAGTAATGCATGGCATTCTGTCCAACGACATCTACTAAACTGACATCTGCACCTTTCCTAAGGAAGGCTTCCACCATGTTAAAGCTACCAGCTTCACAAGCCATCATCAAAGCAGTTCTGGATAAAACAAACACAGTGTAAGTGCCAAGACTGTACTCTTCAAGCAGCAGCTCATTTTTTCAGGAAAAAAATATGACAAATGTTGTACAATAAAGTCCAAGATTTTATCATTGTGTATTGACACAGACATGTAACTGTTGTTTCTCCTTACAAATACCTGCTTGGCCCTCCTTCTCTTCCCCATACTTCGCAGATGATCCTTCTGCAAAGACCTGGCATGCTTTGCACACATCTCCAAACATTTCTAGAAATGAGTGCCTGATGCTAAGAGCAGAGTCATAGCTAGAAACGGCTACATGAGAAAGTCAGACTATCAAATCTCACCGCCACACTCTAATTACAGCTCCCCAAGTGGTGGTACAACATGAAAACATTTATTTAATTGCTGCTCTCCTTCATGTGTTGCTTTTAAAACTAAATAGACAAACAAATTTTAACCAAAAAGTCAAATAAATCTCAAAGCTCTTTAGTGAGACTGAGAGATGGGTTTGATGTCAAATCCAGAACTACTCTCAGTTTGATGGAAAAAAAATATTAATTAGAGCACAATTAATTGCCTCTCCAACACAGGGCAGCTAGACAGTGCCAGATCCTAGAGTAAGGGTAGCATACAGAAGGAGTGTTTTCCTAACAGGTTGTATCTCTTTTTCTCAACGACTTGAAGGAGTCATAAGAGACATACAGAATAATTACAAGCACACAGAAAACCCCACCTTTCAAGCATGCTCTAATGTTGCTTTCCTGCTTCGGCACAATTCTCCCCTCTTCACATGAAAACATACCCAATATGTTGGCCAAGTTCACTGGTAAACGCATTCCTCAGTGCAGATATGAAACTGAAAAGTTACTGCAGTGATAATATTTGCTAGGTATCAAGACAATCATTTCACCAATGAATTAAACCTGCTCCCTGTAATAGGTGAGCCCTGGAGAAATGGTGGCTGTTGCAGTGCTGTGCTAAAAAGTAGCGCTGAGTGGCAACTTGGATAACATTTCCACAGTCACAGGGACAGCTTTAGATCACCAAAATAATTCGCTTAGTCTGGATAAGATAGCAAATTGGACATGCCATTTTCAAAGTTTATCCCCTTCCTCTCCCAATAAGGCTTCTCCTTTCACCAGTTTTGTGTACAGGAGATGCAAGAGTAGTCACTCTTCTTACCAGAAGGAAAGCAAGAAGTAAAATGGTATATTCCATGTTATATGATTTTCTTGCTTCTACGCACAGGACCTTCTTAAAAAAAAAAAAAAAAAAAAAAAAAAAAAAAAAAAAAAAAAAAGAAAAAAAAAAAGAAGAAGAAGAAGAAAGGAAAAAGAAGAAGAAGAAAGGAAAAAGAAGAAGAAGAAAGGAAAAAGGAAAAAATGCAAGTCTGTCCTATCTGTAACAGAAATGCCTTCATCCAATTCAACTAGAAACTCTTTACATTGTCTGTTGAATAAACAGAAGGGGAGTGAGAGGAAGGCAGAGGTCCCACAGTGGGCAGCACCTCAGGTTCAAAGCACCGATGAGGCCATTCAAACCAACCAAGACAACAAAGAATTTTTGTTTTAAGTTTTCTAAAGAAAGAGTACACTAATAAACTTTAGACTGATAAAAAACAAGTTAGGGCCCAGTCTTATCCTCCCAGGTGTTGCTAAAGAACAATATGGGCATTGTTCACATACACTTAATAGTAATCTTGATTACTGTAACTGCCAAGTCTTCTGAACATCCTGCTTTACCTTCTTAGTTTAGCCAACTGCTTGTAAAACAGTCCATAAATTTCCAAGACTCTTGACCTTCATCAGTACCATCAAAATAAGTGCATTTTTATTGCTTTTTAAGAAGAGTTTTCTGACATGCTAGATATCTATTAATGCAACAAAATGGCACCTTCTAAGATGACAGCATCTCCACCGTCCAACTCTGCTGTATTTTTCTCTTGCTGCTGTGGCTGCATTATGGTAGAAAAAATAACCCTCCACGGATGTTGCTCCCAAGTAACAGTTTTCGGATTTAAGTTGGAGAAACTAACTTGTGGCAAGAACACAGCAGCATTTAAAACTAGCACATGTACAAAGTGATATGTGTGGGTAAGTACTGTCAATCAGATTATTGTAGGAATTATTGAAAAATGAGATTTACTGCTTTGGTATCCCAAGGAAAAAAATCTTACAGGCACATCTAGTTTTATACTTGCATGGTGTTTCACTTTTCCCTTTAGGCAGAATTCTGTAAGCCTTCTCAACAACCAGGATATTCTGTCTAGTACAGAAGGCATTATTGCACACGATAACAACTATTTTGGGAAGGATTTGAGACAAGAGCTTCATTTGACCATCAGCCTCGTGGCAGAATTAACATGTTAACCTGGTGTACCTTCCATTTTTATCCCTGGTGTTGACATCTGCTCCATGATCTAGAAGGTATTTGCAGACTTCTGTGTGACCATTTTGTACGGCAAGCAGCAGAGGTATGTTCCCATCCTAGGAATGCATTTAAAGAAACAATGAACAACAATCCATCCACTTACAAATATCATTCTGAGAATTAAAGCTCAGCTATGAACTTTCTACCTATATAGCACAAAGAAGGTGCTACAATTACATTTTTCTTTTATACCATAAATGTAGCTAATTTACTTTAATTCCTTCCTTGACCACTGTGGATGCAAAGCATTAGGAGAAGGAATGCTTTTTCCTGTCTGTACTCCCTTCACTGTTTGCTTAATGCTATAACACAACAATTTTGGAACTACACAATACCTTTAAGTAGCTCAACAACAAAAATGAAATTTTAACTAATTTTAACCAAGTATAAGGCAAAAATAAAACTTTTCATATAACCACAGAATAGCATAGTTGGAAAACACCTTTAGAGGTCACCTGGGGTTTTTCCCCCCTCTGCTCTCAAGCCCTGAGCCCATTGCTCAGGGACTTGTCCAAGTCAAGTTTTAAACAACTGCAAAGGCATAGATACCACGACATGTCTACGTACCGGTTCTAGTGTTTGACCACCGTCATGGTGAGATTTTTTTTTTTCCCTAGTCCCTAACTGGAATTTCCCAATCAGGTCCACTGCCCAAATTCTGACTGTTGCGTGTCATCATTTTGTCATGCACCTGAGGTGGGTCTGGCTCCCTGTTCCTTCTCTCTAAATTGGAGAAGTATGGATTTGAACGATGGACTGTTCAATGGATTAAGAATTGGTTGGCTGGTCACAGCCAAAGGGTTGTGGTCAACAGCTCTATGTTTGGGTGGAGGCCAGTCACAAGCGGTGTCCCTCAAGGGTCTGTCTTGGGACTGGTGCTCTTCAACATCTTTATCAACAACATAGACAACGGAATCGTGTGCAGCCTCAGCAAGTTTGCCAATGACACCAAGCTGTGTGGTGCAGTCGACATGCTGGAGGGAAGGGATGCTGCCCAGAGGGACCTTGACAGGCTTGAAAGGTGGGCCAATGAGAACCTAATGAGGTTCAACAAGGCGACGTGCAAGGTGTTACACTTGGGCCGGGTACTTATAGAGACTGGAGAAGAACTCTGTGAGAGCAGCCCTGCAGAGAAGGACTTGGGGGTCCTGGTGGACAAGAAGCTGGACATGAGCCAGCAGTGTGTGCTTGCAGCCCGGAAGGCCAACTATGTCCTGGGCTGCATTAAAAAAAGGGGTGGCCAGCAGGGAGAGGGAGGTGATTGTCCCCCTCTACTCGGCTCTTGTGAGGCCCCATCTGGAGTACTGTGTCCAGGCCTGGGGCCCCCAGCACAAGAAAGATGTGGAGCTCTTGGAGCGGGTTCAGAGGAGGGCCACAAAGATGATCAGAGGGCTGGAGCTCCTCTCCTATGAAGAAAGATTGAGGGAACTGGGCTTGTTCCGCTTGGAGAAGAGAAGGGTCTGGGGAGACCTCATTGCGGCCTTCTAGTACTTGAAGGGAGCCTGTAAACAGGAGGGGGAGCGACTGTTTACAGTGGTTGATAGTGACAGGATGAGGGGGGATAGTTTTAAACTAAGGGAAGGGAGATTTAGGTTGGATATTAGGAAGAAATTTTTCACTCAGAGGGTGGTGAGGCACTGGAACAGGTTGCCCAGAGAAGTTGTGGATGCCCCATCCCTGGAGGCATTCAAGGCCAGACTGGATGGGGCCTTGGGCAGCCTGCTCTAGTGGTTGAAAAACCTGCCCACAGCAGGGGCGGGGTGAAACTAGATGATCTTTAAGGTTCTTTTCAACGCAGGCCCTTCTATGATTCTATGATTCCTTATGGACAACCATGATGCAGCTGAGGACATTTTTAAGATACTCCCACAGCCTTCTCTTCTTAAGACTGAACAAATCTTTTCTGCCTTTAAAATGCATCTGCTGAAATTTTAGTTCTAACCTCTGTGACAGATTTTTTCAGTAGAAAGACCAGGTAAGAATGAGACTGATCCAAGTAAAAAACAAACAAGTTTAATTGCTTTTATATTTTGGGGTTTTTTTTTGACTTTTGTGCCTGATTTCTGTCAGGTCAGCTCCCTTTATTATCAGGTGCTTTTCTATCAGGCAATTGCATCATTCCCAAAGACAGACTTGGTTGTTTGTAGACATTTCATAATAGTGAATGTAGTGTCCCTGAGCCTTTAGATAACACCAAATATATTTTTTTCCCCTCAGGCTTATCATACTCTGGTTGGGCTTTGTGAGCATTTCACGGCAGTTGGCCACATAATGGGCCTTTTCCAAAGCCTGCTGGAGTCAATGGAAAGACTTTTAATCATGTTTTGAATACATCAGAATTGATTCTAGTTACTTGTACCAATGTCTCAATTTAACGAGCAGCAAATCCTGCCACTACTGTATTCGATTGTGAAGTACTTCCCCACCTCTGCTATGGGAAGCTGCAAAATGAACTTCTTCTGCCAGAGAAATACAAGAAAAAATTTAAGCATAGTATTGCTTGGAACTGCTGCACCTGAGATTGACTGGAGTGGAGGGTAGTAAAAGCTCTGAAGTACACAATGGGAGAAGAGGTACGTACCAAATCTTTGACATTAATTGGACACTTGTGGTCACACAGAAGCTGAACTGCCTGAAGACAACCACATGCAGCTAAAGAAAAAAAAAAAAAGGACAAGCATGAAAGCCCATTAAACCTGATTTTCAAAATTTGTGTTCCACACTTCCACTTGCAATACTGCAGCATTACAGTGCTGTCCAAGAAAAATACATTAACCTATATTTCTCTGTTTTAAGAAGGAAGGAGAGAAAGAATAAAAGGATGAACAGCAGGCTGTATGCAGAAATACAACCAATAATCATGGACCAAATTAGCACGAGAAGACAAAAATCTTTAAAGGACTGAAATCAGAATCAACCTAATCTTAAGTATTTCCAATGGCTCTGCATCTGCAAGTGCAAACTTATTAATCATAATTAATTGAAATTCAGTATTCAAAGTATTAATCTAAAAAAATACCTGAATTTTGTAAACTGTCAGGTGGAGTCACTAGATTTATGTAATTAGAACCTAAAAAACTCCACCAGGCTGAAGAGCTAGGAATAGCAAGCACAAAAAAATAAGACAGTACAAGCTTTCAAAGAAATTACCTGCATAATGTAATGCTGTTTTCCCAGAATTATCTGTGCTCTCTGCTGGACATTTACTCTGCACAATTCAAAAAGGAGAAGAAAAAAAAAGCAGTCAGAGAAACACAAAGAAAATAAAACATATGTTTGATGCTAAGAAGAGAGTGCTGAACATGTCTGAGAAAAGTTTGAGCTACTCCAGAAAGCTCATTCCATATAATAAAAGAATTACAAAAGAAAGGCACAGCTTTCCTCTCTACCAGTCTTGTCTCTCCTTTCTTGCTACTAGCTTACACTGAAGCCATAGGAAATACTCATGGTGAGGGAGATATGCCTAAAAAAATTATCGTTTTGGGAAAATTTAAATCAGGAAATAAAAACCGAAAGAAACTCTCTCCCCTGCTTCAGAAAAGCTTCGTATTTTACATTACAGTAAGAGCTAAAGCAACCATGTTCTAAGGCAATTAATCTTGATTTTTTCTGTTGAAGGCAATAATGTTCCATTTTCATTTGTAAAAACTAAAGCATCAACAATCCAGTTATATTTTGTAGTATTATAAATCACCAGCTACTACTGATCAATCTAGAGTTTGAAGAAATAAATAAAAAACCATCAAATTGCAAATCTTTATCAAGACTTGTTTTGGTACAGAAGATTTTAGTTTCAGTTTACAGTGAAGAAAGAAAAAGTACCACCCCAAAATAATGGACTTCTAAAAAACAAACACTAGAGCCTTTGACTTTTAAATACAGCTCTGCCACCAACGACTATGATTTTCAAGGAAAACAGGTTTACAGAGATTCCATAACAAAAATGTCAAGATTCTACCTGTGTAAAATCATTATTTAGCCTGTTTGAATTCAACTCCACCATACTAAGATTAGACGTTCCTCATACATACAAACAGTTTTTATCACCAAGCCAGTCTACAGAAGCACGCAAGCAATCCAAAGAGCATGAATTATTGGAGAATATTACCAATGGGTCTGCACTTACAAACATATTTAGAAATCTGCATCTTGTAATAAAATCAGCAAAATAACACAAAAGCACTCTGCGGTTTTAACTGGTAAGGGAATGGGTAGCAGACACTTGGTATTAAACACACATCTGGTTGCTGAGTTGATCATGCTGCTGCTTGCAACACCATCAGTGACAGCCTGATGTCACTGTTTATGCTGTCAATGAGCTTGCGTTAGACCTAGTGGATATTTGCCATGAAACAGTGGAACCCATCTAGAGGAACAAAAGGAAAACTTCAAAATTAATTTAATTTTTATTTTACCTGAAGTAGCCTCTTAATGCAATCAGGGTGGCTGTTCTTTGCTGCAAGATGTAAAGCACTATGCCCTAAATACATAAAAGAAAGCAAATTAAGTATTCAGACACACCAAGGCACAGGAATAAACTCTTTCATGACAAAGGCAAAATTTTGCATTATCCATCTTGTTCCTATCACGACACATGAAAAGTAAGGAAAGAGAAAATAAAATAAAAACCTACATCAAGGAGAATGGATTTACGATAGACTGTTGTTCATGCGTGCAACAGAATAAACTTAATCTCTAGCTTCATAAAAGGGAATGATATAAACATTGGGTCAGACTATACCTTGGCAGAAATAAGTCTAAGATTGTGATGTTACATTTTGTTTCTTAAAAAACAATTTTCCTATATTACTCAGCCTCTCTTGCAAAGAGATGTCTGTCAAGTGTCTTCATGATTGCTTCCATTTGGCAATGAAAAAGGAACCTCACACCAAGAGCAAATCCAGCCATATCTACCAGCTAACAGTATAACGAATTTGTATCATCCATGGACTGACTGCATGTAGATCAGGACTCAGAACACAGGCCTACTGTGGTTTGCATCTCATAGATTCCCTTTTCTGTTAATTTATTTAGCATCTGTGAGCTCATGTCTACCTATGCAATACACAGATTTACTGACTATGGATTCATGATTAAAGACTGCAGTCTCTCCTCTAGCTTCATCTTACAGAACATCTGAAAAATTAAGAGGCCAAGACAGCAAAAGAATAAATTATCCATGTAACTAGGAAAAGAAGGACCCAAGATTTAGTACTCAATACAGACAGAGCCACTTGTGACAGTAGAATCTCACTGTGAATAGTGTGCCTATTACAGGCAACACTTTCCCTAATGAATACTGGGTCAACACTCTCAGGTGAGAGCAGGCAACCTCTTATTATCCAAACAACTAATAAATCCTGAGGCAAGATGACGTATGAATTATGAATAATAATCTGTATCACGTACATATATTTTCTTATCATTAGGTACAATCTTAATGCTTCTTCTAGTATCACAGACATTTTCTTACAGAGGCAAATTATTTCCATGTATGACAGAAATTCCCTCAGGCTGCAATCGGTGGCCAAAACAGAACCCGTGAGCCTGACATGTACAGATCATTACTGGAGAGACAGAATGCTGACAGCTCACTCACGTAACTCAGCTAGCCAGAGAAAATGCTGGGCATGGATTCCATAGCTATGTCAACTGAAATCTATTAAGAAGAGTTTGCCAGTTTCAAATTTAGCTTCCATCATTCTCTGAGTGGAGTAGTAATTAAGGTACAGGACTTTTGAGGGCTGAAACAGCATACTTGAAAGCTCTCAACTCTGTTTTGGCCTGGATCAGCTCTTTTCACTATGTCACAAACCTGAGGAAATGTCTTACTGCAACTTCTGTACAGTTAATGGCATTAATTGCTTGGATACTCATAAAAGCAACACCAAAGATCTTGATTTAACCTGTAAAAAGCCTCAAACAAAGTTAACAAAAAGACTTAAGGGAGGGACTTTTTTTGTTGTTGTTTAAAAATAAATTTTTAAAAAATTATGCAATTGTTTTGCATCTTAGTCCACCATAAATGTTGACATTTATAATACTGGGGCAAAAGTTTTTAAGGGCTTTAGAATCTAAATTCTATGTGCAGAAAAGCAAGTATGCTTAAACCTGCAAGTGTTACAACTGCTTATCCTACACAGTGTGTGGGGAAAAGCAGTGCTGTCAAATCCGTAGTTGCACTCTGCACATCAAGAACTATATAGGCAAATTGAGTGTACTGTGCTACATGCATAGGTTCACAGAGGCATACCTGTACCATCTTGGGCTGTCACATCTGCACCATGTGTCACCATGATCCTGAGGCACTCTGCATGCCCTTTTATGGCTGCCAGGTGAAAACTGGAAAAGAGCATTTACATGTCACTTTTCTTTTATTAAGACCTCCTTTCGCTTTCATTCACTAACCAAGTACTGGCATATTCTCCCCTCCCTGTCATTAGATCTTTTGGCTTCTCTTCCTCCACTGCCTCCCAAGAAGATAATAGAAGTGAAATAGAAAGTGAGAAGGCACATCAAAAAGTTTTTGTAGTCATTCTTTTACACAGGCTGCTGTCTCATTAATCCATGCCATATACATGATGTGCACATAGTCCCACCCAATTTCTAAACTAACGTCCTTAGTGATGTAATATATCCCCACAGAATGTCTGGGCTTGGGAAACTAATAAAAAAAAACATTTGCAATGACTGACTTTGCTCTAGGCATTCCAGTCAATCCTGATTTCCTCCTTTCAGTGGACAAAATTTAGTTTGTCTAAAAGGTGATTCAGCTCCTAAATGAAACTAAATCAAGTTGTGCTTCTGCACTGTCCCTTACAGAGCACATCTTTCTCCTATTTAGAGGGGGGAAAAAAAACCTTGTTGTTTGCAAATACCACCTGGAGAAATCAAAGCTACTGGATATTTGTAAGACTATGCTAGAGGTGTATTTTTTTCAACTTTTGGTTTTGCTTTTCACGTCAAGCACCTGCTTGTTTGAGCAGTGGGAAATTGCAGAGGTTACCACCCACACCATGGCAGGATGCACTTAATTACCAAAGCATCAATTACCAAATATATAATTACAGAACAAACCAAAGAAGTTATACTGAATTTAAGCCTTTTTGCAGCTGAAGGTTCATGTTTGACATCCTTGGCACCTCAAGATTCACAGAGTGGTTTTATACACATGCTGCTGACTTAATTTTGCTGGGAAGGAAAAATAAAGGAAAAGCTTCTGGAAACAGAGAAGTTTATATCCTCCTGATGCATATCGTGCCAACATCGGTGAGTCTCAAGGCATGGCAGGCATACTGCTTCCCCGTGGGTCCTACTAACATCAGCTTGACATACAGAACTGTCGTCCAGTGGGAAGAATGTAAAAAACAAATTAAATACAGAACTCTTCCAATTACTATTAAATTGCATGTGAAAAGTTGGGACATCTATCAACATGCCCCAAACTGAAAAAGCCAGTATTCCCAGGATGTTTTCTAATATATTTTAAAATAAATGTTAATTTTTAACATGATGCACCCCTATGTTAAGGGGATTTTCCCCTGGAATCTAAAGGGAACATCACAAATCCTGTAGCCACACCAACTACTGTATCTAAGAGTTTACATTTTGAACAGCTGCTTCCTTTAAATGTTAAAACTAACACCGAAAGTTTAGCCTGCTAACCAGGGAAACAGGAAATAACAGGCAGGAGTAAAACAGATAGTTCTGGCGCACAGTATGTGAACTGCAACACTGTGTTTCTTTAAGCTGTAGACTTTCTTGCAGCCTTCTTGAAAATTCAGTAGACAAAAAGACCTACAGACAATATCTGGCAAAGGGCTGAGAATTAATCAAAACAGGAGAGCTCCTGGAACAGAGTCCTCTATCAAGTACAGCAATTCCTACAAGGAGTCCTTCCACACTGACTGCTGCTGATTGCAAATGGCAGAGAGGGGTGCTTAAGCTTTGAAGCATTTTCTGTAAATATCAAAATACCCCGTGTGCTCATCCTCATGCTTACTACTGCCATAAACAAACTGAAGCATTAACACCTCCAAGAGCATAAAAAGCACGGCTGCCGGCTGTTCTCCAGTCATTCAAAGACAAAACTTCATGTACTTGGTGACCAATGCAAAGTTGCACAAACATTCTTCTTTAGAAGAGGAGGTTTCTCAGGCTGTGGGAAAATGGCTGTGAGAGGGACGCAAACGGAGTCTGACAGATTCCAACATCTCTAATTTAGCTGGCACAACACAGCAGCAAATACCGAAACACGTTCAGATACATTTGGTTAGACACAAAATACAACTGAAGATACTTAAATATTAGGAAGGCTGTGAAGCACACACTTGGCTCACTTACATTTGACAATATTCCTAAGAATAATAAATACCTGAATAATAACAACTTGGCTAAATCTGGGACACTGAGGTTTTACGGACAGATTGTGTAGGATGGTGCCAAATGCAACATGAACATGCAAGTGCAAAAGAAGTTTTATTTAGGTCAAAGCAGACTGCAAAGAAAGCATCAAAGAGAAGGAAAACTTAACTCCTTTCAGGATATGCACCTATGAACGCATCAGTCCCACCAACATGAAAAATTCCCATGGCACACACACCAATGCTTCACTTCGTGTGGTCAAAAATATTTTCAAGTAAGAAAGGTTTGATTAAAAATACTGCTTCTCTCCAACTGATGAGATGAAAGAAACATCACCTGTAAACAGTACAGGGGGTGTGAAAGAAGAGAGAATGTGTATGAAGGATGTAAAGATCTAACGAAAGCAAAAATATATAAGCTATCTGCAGGGTCTCGTGAAAAGAGAGGATGATAAGGTTTAACTCTCAGTCATTTATACAGTGACCTAAGGCAAACAGCATTGGGCTGCTACAGCTCTCTCCCAATTGCTTGCTGTGTGTCCCCTCCTGACAGCCTTGTACTGCTACCATCTCTCACATAACTCTGGAGTGAGATGGTTTTTCTTAAAAATCTAAAAGCAGTTGTGAGGGGAATAGTGGATATGGATAGTTGGCTGCTGGTTTAGTAAAATGAACTGGCTCCCCAGGAAATCAGCCCTACTCAAGAGAGAGAGGAGACTGACTCCAGACTGGGATTAACCTATTAGAGTCGTTTAATTCAGAGTATTTACCTAGAATGCTGGGCAAAAATTTCTCTTTCTGGAGTAATTCTAACTGATTTTTAAAGTTAATAGCCCCCCCTCCCTTTTTTTTTTTTTTTTTTAATCTCAGGAGTAGATACTGAGGGCTTCTGTGTAGCAAGGGAGGTTCTTGAAACAAAGGGGCCTGTACACCTTCATTTCAGTACAGAATAATTCCTTACAAGCTACATAAACTTTCCTAAAATATTTGAGGCAAAAGCTGCAGGTTTCCAAACACTGGAGTTCTCACCATCTGGAAGCCTTAAGCAGTGGTGCATTTTACTTGCATCTTTCATGAATAAACTTCCCTTGATATGAAAGCAAACAAGTTTTCCTCCCACTTCCTGGTTGTGCAATGACTTAGGCAAACAAAAACAAACATGTAAGGCTTGATTTGGAGCAAGGGCCACACTGAGGGTTAGATTCCCATTACAACATAGCTCATCTTCCCTTCACAATAGATAAGCCTGTTACTACCACTTAGCGCCACATCTTGATACCTCAGCCTGAACTGACTTCAGACAGATTTCTTTTATTGCTGTAAAACATTTCTGTTCTTCCTGGGTGGAATGGTCTTTTATAATTGTCTCCAGACCTCTCAGTGCAGCAGAGGAGCTGTGACCCTTCCTGATGGTTTTCTCATTGGATCCAGAAATTAAGCAAGTCAGCATTTGAGACCCACCTCTGCAGCAGCTGATAAAGATCAGCTGGTTGACACTACTTTTTCCTGCTGGGAATGTACAGTCTCATAACTACTCAGTCCTTAACAAGACAAAGTAAAAGATGACGTTCTTTGGGAGGAACACAAAGCCCAGGTGGAGTAAACAAGCCTTGAGACTAAGAGCGAACACACAGCAGAATTTCATCAGATTCAGGGCCAACTGGAGAACAGCTGCAAGACTATCACCTCAAAGACCTGCCACGTATAATTTTTCCTGACCAGAAATGTTATTCAAATAACATTTTCAAATGCACTTATAGAGAGATGCTTTTTATGAGTGCTTGGTGACTGAACAGAGTGGACAGCTGTAGATGATGACATCCTTGAACTAGTTGTAAACAGCAGATTTCTTACAGCTAGGAGATGTCAACTGGTAAAGCACTTGCATCCGTCCTAAACAAGCCCATCCTTTATTCAGGGCAAAGGACTCTTCCACGTTTTGGTTACAAATTTAAGCTATCAAAGGAACGGAGACTTCTTCAATCAGTGTCTGACACAGCACAAGAGTTCAGATAAAGCCAGTCTTTGCTAAAAATCCAAGAACGAGTGTTTCCAGAAATTATTTCAAGGCCAGACAATCTAAATCAAACAGAAAAGGGCTGTAATTTTTACTGCTTAGCTCACATAGCATCATAGAATCATTAAGGTTGAAAAAGAC